ACCAATCACCTAGCCCTTTGCCTGCCAAATTCTCCTTTAAAACTCTTTCTCTCATATTCTTGGGGAGACAGATTTGAGAAATTCTTTTCATCTCTTCACTTGGTGCTCTGTAATATTACACTCTTTCTCCACTGCAACTCTGTATGTCTCAGGGTAATGGCTCTTTTCTGTGCAGCAGGAAATATGTACAACCTGGCTGGGCTATCATATTACAGAGGAATGTCATCATGCCTATTTAACCCATGAGGATTCTGAAGCTCAGAGAAGGAAGACCCTGCAGAAGTCATGTAGGAAATAAGGGGCCTGGCCAGGGCCTCATCATTCTGTCCAACCTCAATATCACCATCCTTCCACCTGGGTCCTCTGAAGAGCTTCCACTGGCCCTTCCAGGCTGCTCTCCTCCCTGATCACTCAGTCAGAACCCATCCTCTCTGTCCTCAGCTACCACTCCACAAACGTCTTTTTGTCCAGTCTTGAGCTTAGCGAATTGGGGAGGTTTGGCTCTGTGATTACCCCTGAAAAGAGTCCCCATATGTCTGGCACGGGGCTCGGGGGGCGGTGAGGAAAGTACAGATCTGGAGCATATGGAGAGATGGTACCTGGGGATGGTAATGTAGGAACCACCCAGAGAACAGTCCAGGCCAGGAGAGGGGGAAAACAGCATTACCAGTCCCCAGAATGTGTCTAGGGTGCAGTGGGGGGGGTAAAACAGAGGGTCGGCAAGGTCCCTAGCTGATGGCAAGTTTCCCTCTCTAAGCCACAATTCTACTCTTTAAAAAAATGGTGCCATGCTGAGACCCTGAATTAATGACCACTAATCTCCCTTTACTGGCCACACCCATTCTGGTTTATGCACCATCCTCCCCCATGGACCATCCTCCCCCATGGGCAGTCTCACCAGTCTCCTCCCTACCAAACCTTGCACCTCCATTTCCCACACAGCAGCTCGTAGGAGCCTTAAAAGCACACTATCACCACCTCACTCATTTTCTCTCTCTCTTTTTTTTTTTTTGAGACAGAGCCTCAAGCTGTCCCCCTGGGTAGAGTGCTGTAGAATCACAGCTCACAGCAACCTCCAACTCCTGGGCTCAAGCGAGTCTCCTGCCTCCGCCTCCCAAATAGCTGGGACCACAGGCGCCTGCCACAATGCCTGGCTGTATTTTTTTTGGTTGCAGCCATCATTGTTGTTTGGCGGGCCTGGGCTGGATTCGAACCCGCCACCTTAGGTGTATGTGGCCGGCACCTTAGCCACTTGAGCCACAGACGCCGAGCCCACTCATTTTCTCAAAACTGCAGAACAAAACCCAGTCTCCTTACTAGGACTTTCTCTATGTAGATTTTCCTACCTTTGCTTCCCTGCCTCATTCCTTTCCTTTCCAGATACTCGAAAGACACCCTTCAAAACCACTCAGGTTAAAAGCAGCCCCAGGTCTCCGATCCCATCACTCGCTTACTTCGTTCATTTATTTGCTTGTACCGTTTAGCATCCTTGTTTCTGTTGTCTAGGATGGGTCCGACACGCAGCAAGCATTCATTACACAGGTATTGAACAAATGAATGAAATAGAAGCAGAGACCAGAAAATCGGGTGATTTTGTTCCCAGGCGGTTTCTGTAAGATTTTTTCATTCCCCGAAATCAAATCCCGGATAATGGGTTGCACCACAGCCACCAAACCGATCAACCCACTCCCTTCTCCGCGCATGACGGGGCTCGGTGGCCTCCGCTGCTCACCGAGTCTTCGAGGCCACGTGAGGAAAGGGTGGGGTTCGTGGCTGTCACCCACCGCAGAGCCTCCCAACCCTACCGGCCGCCGTATATGCGCAAGCGCAGTGGCGCTTCCTCTGCTCGGCTTTCCCTCAACGCCCCCGGACGGCTCCCTGGGCAACCAAAGGTGATCACCAACGCAAGTAAAGCCAAGAGGGCCACCTGGTGGGCGTCTGAGGCGTTTTTGTCGCCGTTTACGGACCTCTCTCTGTGGTCGCGACGTCTGGCAGGGAAATATTTCGCCTGTAAAGCGTACGCCCTGAAAAAACAGGCAGCGCGCTTGCGCAAGAGAGCTAGTAGGCAGCAGCGGTTTGCGTCTGCGTTCTAGGGGGTCCGTGCCGGCTAGCGCCTGCGCGGCGGGGCGCTGCGGAGACCGTTGGCTCATTTGCATGTCCCCGCCTCGCGCGGCGGCGGAGGCGGCGGCGGTGGCAGCGAGTGAGGAGCCTGAGGCAGCGGCGGGGGCGGATCCGCGCGCGGTGGGCTCGGGGTGAGGCCCGGGCCCAGGCGTCCTCGGTGGGTGGGCCCTGGGGTGGGGGTCGCGGGCTCGGCCTGGGTGCTCCGGGCTGGGTGGTGGTGTCGCGGGCTCGGCCTTCAGGCTGCAGCGACGGACGCGCCCCGATGGGGTTGGTCTGCGGGGCTGGCTGCGGCCTCCAGGGCACAGCACCCCCTTTTCTTGGTCCTGGGAGTCCGGGAGAAAGCGAACCACTTCCCAAAAGGGCTTGTCAGTTCACTTGTTCATTCATTCCACCTTAACCCCAAGCAGCCTCAGGTCTTAGCGTGATACGGCGGCCGGCGGCGCATCGTGCCCTTTACCTCTTGACCTGGTTCAGTCCCCATGGCCCCGACTATTAGCTTCTATAGGCGGGGCAGGGACACAGAAGGGCTAGGTCATTTGATTTGAACCCGGGTCACCTGACTCAGAGACCCTGCTCTGCGTCAGCAGCGAACAAGGGGATGTTCCGGGAAAAGGGCTGAAGGGGTGATGGGTGTAGGAAGTGAATGTAAGATTGTGTTTTGAAGTTGCAGGTGACCAGCCACTGGATTCCTGAATGTTGCTTCTTAGTCTTTAATTACTCATTCTCTTCAGGTCTTTGTCTCCACTGCCAGTGGCCTGTTGCTAGGTTCAAGTCCAGGCTGTCTGACCTTGGGTGGGTCACTTTTCTTGAATCTTCCTTTTTCCTCCTTTGTATAATGTCATTCTTAATAGGACCCACATTTTCAAGGGGTTATTGCAAGAAGCAAAGGAGATCATGTAAGGACCTACCACTCAGTGAACTCTGTCACTGGTCTGGAATTTCTGGACTCATTTGCCAAGAGGCTTCCCTCAGAGTGGGAAGTAAGTTTTCAGGGCCTCTTCACCCAGGCTGTGAAATGGGAAAAGAATGCTCATGTCGTTCCCAGCCACCATTTGCAAGGATTGTATTCCCACTCATCCTACTTTGTTGTGCTCAGTTACTGTGTGTTGGTTCAGGATGGCTTTTACAGAGAGTAGTGGAATCTGAGGACATGGGCACAGAGGTTTGTCTTGCTCCTTTTCAGCCAACTTCATTCAGGCAGAAACCCCCTTTAAATAATTGGTTCACAGGAAATAGACATAATTGTAACTTTGACTAAACCTGTACAAAGGTAATGCATGTAACCAAAATGTTACCTTGTAACATTCTGAAACAAAGTATTAAAAAAAAAAAAAAAGAATTGGTTTGCCTTTGAAGTACCATGCCAGGATTATGGATTACTGACTACCTTGTTACTTTGAGGATTAGGTGAAATAGAGTGAGCAGGCTCTATGAGCATGAGTTGTTGTTCTTAGTGTGTGTGTGTTTTTTTTCCCTTTCTCTACAGGTTGAAGAAACATGGCAGCAAGGCGAATTGCTCAGGAGACTTTTGATGCTGTATTACAAGAAAAAGCTAAACGATTTCACATGGACCCCAGTGGTGAGGCTGTAGGTGAAACCCTTCAGTTTAAAGCCCAAGGTAAACTTTTTGAGGGGGGATGGAGGGGGCCTACTTAGGAGACAGGGCAGGAGGATTTCAATAGCTTGGGCAAACTATGCAACTCCTTTGATCCTTACTTTCCTTCTTTGTAATAAGGATTTTAATGTATTCTCTGGACCCACCTATCTGTCACATCATGATGTAGAAAGAAGGTAGTATTGTCATCTGGTGCTTCTCTTAGCCAGACACCTTCCCCAAAAGTCAGATTCTTGAATTACTCTCTTGGCTCTATCCCACCACCACTGCCCAGGATTAAACTCTTATCAGTTCTTGCTTGGATTATTGCACTAACCTCTTCCTACAGAATCTCTGTTTCTTGCTCTATTCCTCTCACATCTGCTCTCCGGATCTATTAGTGCCAACCTTGCTGGGCCACTGCCCTTCATGGATTTTTGGTGCTCCCCATTGCAGGGTTACATCCTCAGATGGGTACAAGAGCAGCTAGGTCACAGGGTATGTGAAAGACAGAAGGGCTTGGGGAGCCTGTAGAGCTGCTGAGTATAGGCCCTGCCTGCAAACATTCTCTTTGGAAAGTTTTGACATACCATGCCTGCAGAATAAAAATGATACCTGCAGAGGTTGCAGAATGACATGAAGATCCCTCACCTGACTTGGGCCTCACATTTGTGTGCTGTGCTGCCTGCTGTTGGGAAAATACATTGTATACTCACTCCCCTGCACTGGGCCTATCTCCTTGATGCAGTGCTGCTCCCAGCTGCACCAGCCTCAGGGTAGAGAAGATTTGCTTGGTGTTGGCTAAGTAAGTGAAAGTGTTTGGAGTAGGAGTCATACACATGCTTTGGACCTGGAGAAATCAAGGCTCAAAGATTGTCCCTAGATTTTGAGTTTTAAAAATTATGTGAATACTACACGTAAACATTTTGTTGTAAAAGATTAGAACATTTAAGAAGGTAAGAGGAAATTAAAAGTTCACTTAGGCTCCGCGCCTGTGGCTCAAGTGGCTAGGGCACCAGTCACATACACCTAAGGTGGTGGGTTCGTATCCAGCCCGGGCCCACCAAAACAACAATGACGGCTACAACCAAAAAATAGCTGGGCGCTGTGGCGGGCGCCTGTAGTCCCAGCTACTTGGGAGGCTGAGGCAGGAGACTCACTTGAGCCCAGGAGTTGGAGGTTGCTGTGAGCTGTGATGCCATGGCATTCTACCCAGGGGGACCGCTTGAGGCTCTGTCTCAAAAAAAAAAAAAAGTTCACTTAACTGCTTATCTCTCAGAGGTAACTGTGTTTGTGGTGGTTTGTGGTGGCAGTCTTCAGTTCCTTTAGTGATACATTTACATAATTCTGAATACTTAGGGGTTTATGCAGATGAAGATTTTAGTTTTGGTTCAACTTTACATACAGACTCAAGCACCAATACATATTTTAGTAGTTACCTCCAGAAAGATTAAAAGGGAGGAGTGAGGAACTAGAAACTTAGCAGGGTGCTAGGTGGTTTGGAACATCTCTTTGTTACAAATCTCCATGGTCCATTAGTCAGCCTTTTTCTACGTCTGTTCCACTCTGAACTTTTCCTTTTCTTCTTAAACCAAGACATTTGAAAATTCTGTTGTGCAGAATCCAGCTACTATACTCTGTTAATAACACCATCATTGTCAGTAGTCAGTACCTGGATCACCTGTGGATTCCTTGCTGGAATATCCACATCTACTCTCTCCTGTAATCTGTTGCCTACATAGTAGCCAGTCCTTTTGTTCAGAACCCATCAGTGGCTTTTGTATCTCACTCAGAACATGCATTAGAATCATCTAGGGGCCAGGAAAGAAGGATTTCAATACCTTTTAGAAATTCTGACATCCAAGTCATGACCCATCCTAATTAATTCAATAAAGTATAGAGAGAGGGTTCCAGGGGACGCAATAGAAGAGTTTGGAGCCACCTTCCTCCCATTTTGCCTCTTGTTCTTTTTGTTCCCTTTGGCCACATTGGCTTCCTACTTTTTCCACCTCAGGGCCTTGTCTTCATGACCCAGGCATCCTCAAACTATGGCCCACGGGCCACATGCGGCCTGCCTAGGACATTTATCGGCCCGCTGGGTTTTTTTGCTGCTGCTGCCTGTCCTGCTTAGCAGCCGACTTGTCCCAGGGCCCTGCATTCCGGCTCTCCAACGGTCTGAGGGACAGTGAACTGGCCCCCTCTTTAAAAAGTTTTAGGACCCCTGTCATGACCTGTCTGCCTGGAAGGCTTTCCCCCATAACCACATGGTCTGGCCTCTCACACCAGGCTGTTGATGCCATATTGACAGAGCTATCCTCTTTGACCATCCTGTCTAAAAATGGCATCAACTAGACACAGTGGTATATACCTATAGTCCCGCTTGCTCAGGAGGCTGATCATGCTTGTGAATACCTACTGCATTCCAATCTGGGCGATATACTGAGATTTTGCCTCTCTAAAAAATAAAAATTCCCATTTCACTTAGTTGATTTTTTTCTTGGCACTTACTTGCATTTTTTATATTTATTTATTTATTTATTTATTTTTGAGAAGAGTCTCACTATGTCACCCTCAGTAGAGTCCCATGGCTTCACAGCTTACAGCAGCCTCAAATTCCTGGGCTCAAGTGATGATCTTGCCTTAGCCTCCCAAGTAGCTGGTACTACAGATACCCACCAGAACACCTGGCTATTTTTTTGTTGCAGTTGTTGTTTGGCAGGCCCTGGGCTGGGTTTGAACTCGCCAGCCTCCGTGTATGTGGTCTGCACCCTAACCGCTGAGCTACAGGCGCCGAGCTTGGCATATTTTTATTTATATCTGGCTTCTTCAACTGAGAAGTCTGGGAAAGATCTCCTTTCCTTGCTGTAACTTCTTTGCTTAGTGTCTGAAGTTCCTTGCACACGGTAAGTACTTGAACAAATGAACTTGGATTTGCACAGGATATTGGTTTCTTTTGGCTTCTCAGCCCACAGCTCATTACTAACTCCTGGAATCTCTTTTTTTTTTCTTTTTTTTTTTTTAAAGACAGAGTCTCACTTTGTCGCTCTCAGCAGAGTGCTGTGTCGTCACAGATCACAGCAACCTCCAGCTCTTGGGCTTAGGCCATTCTCTTGCCTCACCTTTCCAAGTAGCTGGGACTACAGGCACCCACCATAACATCTGGCTATTTTTTTTTGTTGTTGTTGCAGTTTGGCCGGGGCTGGGTTTGAACCCACCATCCTTGGTATGTGGGGCTGGCACCCTGAGTCACTGAGCCACAGGCACCACCTTAATTTTTTTTTTAAGAGACAGTGTCTTACTTTGCTCAGGCTGATCTTGAACTCCTGACCTCAAGCAGTCCTCCCATCTTGACCTCTCAGAGTGCTAGGATTACAGGCATGAGCTACCGTGTCCAGCTCATGTGAGTTTTTTAAATTAGGCCATAGATTCTGATTCAAAAGCTAGAAAGTGAGAAAGGCATTTCATGAAAAATCTCCCTGAGGCCTACTGTTCCCATAAACCAGTGGTTCTCAGCCTTCCTAATACCTCCTAATTCTGGGACCCTTTAATATAGTTCCTCATGTAGTAGTGACCCCCAACCATAAAATTATTTTTGTTGCTACTTCATAACTGTAATTTTGCTACTGTTATGAATTGTAATGTAAACATCTGATATGCAGGATATATTTTCATTGTTACAAAGAGGTCGTGACCCACAGGTTGAGAACCACTGCCATAGACCCATAGTTCATTTCTGTTCCTAGCTTTTTTTTTTTTTTTTTTTTTTTTGAGATAGAGCCTCAAGCTGTCCCCCTGGGTAGAGTGCCATGACTTCACTGCTCACAGCAACCTCCAACTCCTGGGCTCAAGCAAGTCTCCTGCCTCCGCCTCCCAAGTAGCTGGGACCACAGGTGCCCGCCACGACGCCCGGCTATTTTTTGGTTGCAGCCATTATTGTTTGGTGGGCCCGGGCTGGATTCAAACCTGCCACCTTAGGTGTATGTGGCTGGCATCTTAGCCGCTTGAGCCATAGTTGCCGAGCCTCCTAGCTTTTTTTTGAGATAGAGTCGCACTATGTTGCCTTGGGTAGAGTGCTGTGGCATCACAGCTCACAGCAACCTCAAACTCTTGGGCTTAAGCTATTCTCTTGCCTCAGCCTCCCAAATAGCTGGGACTACAGGTGCCTGCCGCAATGCCAGGCTATTTTTTGGTTGTAGTCATTGTTGTTTGGCAGGCCTGGGCTGGGTTTGAACCTGCCAGCTCCAGTGTATGTGGCTGGTACCCTAGCTCAGAGCTACAGGCACTGAGCCTGTTCCTAGCTTCTTATGGAGTTTTTCTGTGTGTAAATAAGCAAATGTAAGTATGTTTCCCCTTTTCTACACTAAGGACAAAAGTAGACACTGTTCAGTTTTCATTATGGCCTCCCTCAATATGGGTTGTTTAGCTCCTATCTTCCCTCCTACCGGCCTCAGTCTCTGTTTTTTTCAGCTCCAAAAAGATGGTTGATTAACCTCGCAGACCTTTTTAAGGGACTGATTCAGCCAGCTTGGGTCAGCTGTGATGGGTACTGTCCGCCATGGCTCCAGGCTAACGGGTGGCACTGTGGATGGGGAGTTTTCTTGGAGGCTATGAAGGTGACAGCTACTATAAAGCTGTCTGCTGTGAGATAGAAGTAGAAACACAGAAGCATTCTAATTGTAGTAAAGAAGTCCAGGTTCTGAACAAAGAAAGTGGTTTTTTAAATGGGGAAAGAATAAAAAAAGAAGTCCAAGTTATCTGGGGACTGAACACCCTTCAGTCTAAAAATGGGATTACAGAAGTTCACACCTATGATCCTAGCACTTTGGGAGGCCAAGATGAGGATCAGAACTCCTTGAGGCCAGGAGTTCAAGACCATAGTGGGCAACATATTGAGACAATGTCACTACAAAAAATAAAACTGCATTTTTATAGTCCCAGCTACTCAGGAAGCTGAGAAAGGAGGATTGTTTAAGCCCAGGAGTTCACAGCTGCAGTGAGCTAAATTTTGCCTTTGCACTCTAGTATGCTCAACAGTGAGACTCTGTCTCTTTAAAAAAAAAAAAGAAGAAGAAGAATTGTAAACACAGATGGCTCTAGAACAGCGATTCTCAACCTGTGGGTTATGACCCACAGGAACTATATTAAAGGGCTGTGGCATTAGGAAGGTTGACAACCTCTGCTCTAGAGCCAGGGTAGGGGATTTGAATGAGTGAGGAGCCCTGGTGACTAGTTGAGAAGTCCATGTCTTGCTTGTGGGGTGCCTGCTGCCCAGCTTAGGTGTACTGTCATAAGGGCAAAGGTAGGCCCATTGCTTGTAGGTCTTCCTGTTCATTTTTCTTTTCTTTTCTAAGAGACAAAAGTTCACTTAAGCAATCCTCCTGCTTCAGACTCCTGAGTAGCTGGGATTCCAGGCACATGCCACCATGCCTGGCTCATTTTTAAATTTTTTTGTTGAGATGAGTTCTTGATATGTTACCCAGGCTGCTCTCTAACTCCTGTCCTCAAGCAGTCTTCTGTTTAAATAAGAAGTCAATCCAGATTTTTTTGTTTTTTTGTTGCCCAGGCTAGGGTGCTATTGCCTCAAGCTTAGCTCATAGCAACCTGAAGTTCCAGGGTTCAAGCAATCTTCCTGCCTCAGCCTCCCAAGTAGCTGAGACTATAGGTGCCCACCACAATGCCTGACTAATTTTTCTGATTTTAATAGATACAGAGTCTTGCTCTTTCTCAGGCTGGTCTTGAATTCCTGAGCTCCTGCCTCAGCCTCCCAGAGTGGTAGGATTGCAGACATGAACCACTACACTCAGCTTTCAAACTAGATTTTTATTTTT